TAAGATCCTTGACAGATACAATGAGGAAACAAGCAGAGAACTGCATGAAGAATGTGATATTTAGGAAAAAGGAAGAGTGTGTAAGTGAGGCATCAAACGCCCTATTAAACGAAATAGCTTTGCGCGAAGTGATGATGACTAGACTGGCCGATGGACCTGTGTAGTAAATGCTCTTTCAAAAAAACAACAACATCAGTTGCGAGTGTGCAAAAAACTAAGACGAAGGTAGACAATTGTCTACCTTCGCCAATCTTTTTGTTGTTTTCGGCGCTTTTACACCTCTAATAGCTAATAGTAATGAATATCCCTAACCTTAGGAGTACTTGCAAGTGGACTGTAGTATGTGCCTCCAACTATAATTACGCTTCTCCATTCTGACTGCAGCTTGCGGAAGTTCCGACTTGGCAATCTTGCAGCATGCAGCAGTCGACTGGGGAATAGAGCACTGCACGGGCCGGAATTTCTAGGCCCGGCCCGACCCGGCCCGGTAGAGACACGGCCCGGGCCCGGCCCTAGCCCGAGAGAATTTTTAATTTCTAGGCCTGGCCCGACCCGGCCCGGAAGAGACACGGCCCGGGCCCGGCCCGAGCCCGACTGAATTGTTAATTTCTAGGCTCCGCCCGACCCGGCCCGATGACTGTAGCCCGAAACAACCCATTCCCGTTTGAACCCGCGTCCTGTTTCGACCCGTTCCCGAAACGAGCTCCCCATTTGAACCCGTCCTGTTTCGACCCATTCTTTAAACACCCTTCCCATATGAGCCCGTCCCGTTTCGACCAGTTCCCTAAACGCCCTTCTCGTTTGAATTTGTCCTGTTTCGACGCATTCCCTAAACACCCTTCTTATTTGAACCAGTTTCCGAAACACTCTCTGCGTTTGAACGCGTCCCGTTTCAACCTACTTTTATAAGGCCCTGCACATCGCAACCTCTTCGCAAAAAGTCTCCTTCATTCTAAGCCTGGTCTGCACACCTTTTCTGTTTAAGAATATGTTCTGAAGTAGCTTTACATGTCAACGCGTTCTTAAAATATACAACCCTTTTAGGCAAGCTTAAGTTTAATATATTCCTAGTTAACCATTAAAACGTTTTTTTTCAAGATGGTTCCCAAAACCTGTAAGCGCGGAACGGACTATGTACACTGCGCAACACTGATACCGTGAACACGACGATGGCTCTTTTTTCGAATTTTACTTCGAAATGGTGTTAGCAGGCACCAAAGTATACCACTTAGGTCTGTGGCCCAGATGAGCACTTCTAAAGACACTAATGGTTTTGAAAACAGCGTTTTGATTCTATGAGATAAACATAAAAACACGACGATCGCTTGTTCGCGCTAATATTGTGTCGCGCTCTGTGCAATAAGGGAGTTTTAGAATAACGTACTCAAGCACTTTGGGCCAGCTAAAATTAGCATCGCCATAGGTTTTACATCGCAACGCTATTTTTACAGTACCCAAAGCGCTTGCGTACGTTTTTCTAAATCTTCCTAATAGTGAACTAGATATTTTTGAGAGCGATGAATCAGACAGGTTGGCAAGCATATGACTCGAACTTTATTTTGTTTACAATTTATAACCCAACCCTTGCTCACACAAAAAAAGCTTGAAGGCTGTCTAGCTTCAAGACGTATTTTAGTTATTATTTTTAACGACGCTGTAGTGAATTTGCACTTCACTTTTTTTTGTATTCAATGAACCTAAAAGATTAATGAGCAAACTTCTTGCTATAAACAACAATTTATGATTTACGGTACAAGATTGCCCAGGCACGGCACGGGCCGGCCCGGGCCGGCCCGGGCCAGCGCGGCCCGAGAACTTTTTTGTTCAAGCCCGAGCCCGGTCCGGGCCCGAGAAAATACATGCTAGCCGGCCCGAGCCCGGCCCGCGGGCCGGGCCGGGCTAGGGCTTTCGGGCTGGCCCGGGCCCGTGCAGTGCTCTACTGGGAAAGTATTATCAAAGCTGAAGAAAACATCCGCTGTAGAGCACATTCAGGGCTTGATCTGCGTCGTTTATTGAAGTAGTATCCTGTTTGTTTCTTTTTTTATATTGAAAATGCTAGTCCTCAAAGGCAATCCCCAGACATTTTTAAGAAACTTCTACACATTATGCGGTCGAGCATGAAATGTGTCCCACAGTGGCTACAGTAAAACCTCAATTATGCGTCCCCGGTTTACGCACAACTGCACGAGTCAGCAGAAACTCACTGATTTCTGTTGAAGTTCCACGGTGATAATAACGATTGATTGGCACCTCTATTACAGAATTTCTAGGTTACATTCATATTTGCATGAGGGTTCTAGCTTCTTCAGATTCCAGCAGATTATCAGCTTAAAGACTATTTAGAAGTTCTGCATATCTTTGTCACATGAGGCTGAGCACCGTAATTGTTGTTTTTTGGATCATTTATTTACAAATACTGCTGATCCCTATCAGGGATCGTAGTAGGTTGGAAAGTAACACAAAACGAAGCGATATAGTACCAAAGAGTTATTAGTTACTCATTCAGAACACAAAGCGGAAACAAATGCACTCACAGTGTCTTGGTTAATAATTTTGTAAGGAAGCCCATTCAATTCTACAATCTATCCAGGAAAAAAGGAGAATTTGAAAGCGTTGATGCGCGGTTGGTAAGGTGTAATCGCAAGTGGATTTCTTCCTCGGGTGGCGTAACCAGTCGAGAAAGTGATGTATTCGTCAACGTTAATTTGATATTGTCCCTTAATTAATTGAAATAAAAAAACAAAGTCTGCATACACGGTTTCGTTCTTCAACCGGGACAAGCCCAAGCTGTGTGCTAAGCTCGGAAACGGGCACCTTCTTATAGGCGTTAAAAATGAATCTGACAGCTTTATTTTGAATTCGTTGTATACGATTGATTCCTACCTGTGTAAATGGGTCCCAAATAATGTTTGCATATTCTAGGGTTCGCCGGATTAGAGTCTTGTACGCCAGGAGTCGAGTGTCTGAAGTGGCTGATTGTAGTGTTCCTCTAAGAAAAAATAATCTACCGAGGGCGTTAGAGGAAATTAAATTGATCTGTTTATCCCTTCTAAGATCGGAACTGATCCAGAGACCCAGATATTTGAATCCAATGTTTTCGCGCAGTCTCCTGAAAGTCATGGTCGAGGCACCACTGTATCCTCTAGCTTTGAGAATGCCTCACCCGGTTGAATGCTGCGCGCCCTAAAGTGGCTGAATGAGAACTTCCGGTGGCCGCACTCGTGGAGTGCGGCAGCATCACTCGGAAAATCGTCGAAAGATAGTGAACCCAATACACTATTTCCATCCAGTTCCCAGAATTACTAAGGCGTGCTTAGAGGCAATGAGGGATATCTCAGTTGCAGAAATTGTTTCCTGCGTACTAACAGAATTCTATTTAGGTTATGAAAATGATCAGCAGAAAGCAGTCCTGACATTGTTGGGATGACCTAAGTCTGCATGAACAGACATTTACAGTATTTAATAATAATAAAAAAAACTTTTGAAGAACGAGGACGCGTCTGCTGAAACCTTGCAAACAATGAAAAAAAAAAAGAAATCACTGAAATTTAAGGACACGACAAAACAGAGGCAACATGATACAAATCAGAAATTAAACCAACAGTACAGTTAGCATTGTTTCAACAAAGTGCAATGCCTACCTCCTCACACATCCTGATGGAATATGGACACTTAGGCTTCACATTATAAGGGCAGTAAGTACAGCCACGGTTCTAATTGTTGAGCCTCTTTAATGAGCACATTTTTCGCCTAAACTTATGGTTCGTTCACACTTCTAAAAAACAACCTTGCTGCCGACCAATTCTGCTCGCCAAAAAAGACCGAACTGTTCAGGCTTATTATTCCCTGCTGTGCCTGTATGATGTACCGTGGAAATCAGTTTCTCTAGTACAAACCTGCCGTGCCAGTGCGTGTCGGCTGAGGAAGTTAGGAGGCCAGCTTTTAACAAACACCATGCATTATTTCGAGTGGGTTACCTATGCTCTTTGCTCAGCGACAACCAAGGAATATACGAGCATCGAACGGAAGCTATCCACGGCACTGGGGTCTCATTTTCGTCTTGGCGAAAGTGAAGGAGCTAAAAGACTGTTTGCAAACATGTTGCCTGCCAGTGCGAGAAAAAGAATAGTTTTTGGAGTCAACGCACTGGATTCTCTGTGACCAAAAGGGGGACCGAGCAGAGCACAGATTGAAGATCATGAAGATTAATCATTAGTGAAGCATCATCATTTAGGTGCGACTCGTGTTCTCACCTAATGGGCAGTCAAGGCTGACACGACACTCCTGTTCAATACGCGCTTCGCATTGACTCCTTTTAGGTGACATGGAAAATCGGGGCTAAGGCCTCGAGCTTTTCTAGGTTGTGTTGAATACGCCTGCCATGAAGTTTCAATCACCGACGAAACCAAAACAAAAAAGACATTGATGTGTCGTCTGCTAAGCGAGTTGTAAAACGATCTGTGAATGTCTGCTATATCACGAAGGATGCAATAGACCTTTTTTTAAAAGCTGCACCTGCCTCCGCTGGCACCAAAAGGCAGTGTGCTGTTGCAAACCGGCTGTAGATGACGACTGAATAAGGCCAAGCAAGATAAGGGAGGCAAGCGGCAAGACCATTGCAAGCTGAGGAGGCATGTGACAGAGCCTTGCACGAAACTTCCTCTCGTCGCCGAAATTTGTTTTCCTGCTGTACATAAGCTGACATTCCCTGGTGTGACATTTGGCAATACTATTCCTGCCTTCCGTTGTAATTAAAAAGTTTTCTCTAAAAAAAAAAAGTCAAAAAGGTCCTTGACCGATCCGCTTGCCACTGGATATTCAGACTTCTGACGCCCAGCGTCCAAAGTCTGCGATTGTGGTTTGAGCATCAAAATAATCTGCTAAAATTTTGACGCCCGGCGTCAAAATTTGGTGTGAATGACTCGCTTGGGTTAGGAAAAAAACAAGATAAAAGATTCACACCTTTAACCGCGATGTGAAGAAAGAAAATTGTTACATACCATGTTCTCCACAACATCCTCTTGAACAACAGAGCCTGCCACTCCACGAGTCTCCATAGCCGCAACAAGGGGTGGCACACCTGCCGGTAGGCAGCATCAAATTATGAGAAAATTACTGGTTAACAACAGTCAACACTGGCATCACGGGCGCCTTAAAGTTACACAGAAGTGACACCTGGTTTAACATTAAGGAAAATTGAAAGTGCACACTATTAAAGCAGACACTGCACTAAACTTGCTCCTAGACTTCAAACTTTCTCTTCTAGTGCACATTCAGTATTTTTGTGCATATTTCACTGCTTTCGACACGGGCACTCACTGTCAACACGCCGCTTCGCAAACAGCTCCCAAATCGAGACAGACTGCTGCTGCCACTCCATATCATACTATGAGCGCCCTCATTTCACCTATGTACAGCTGCAACTTTAAAGAGCAATGCACATGCTATTCTTGTAAGCAGAACAGCAAATTGGGGCATGAAAATTGACACTGTGTGTAAACATAGAGACAGTAAAACTCCAAACCCAAGCAGGGTCGGCTCTCGCACAACAATTCAGTGCTTCACCGTCACAGATATTGCCTACCCTGATTTTGAAAAAAAGTCTTTCCTGTATCAGCATTCAGTTTAAATAAGAAGAACTTACGGAATCACAGAGAACGATAGCAGCAGTAGTACTCATTTTGGGATACGAAGAAGCTTGTTAACCATTTAACGCAGGATATTAAAGCAATGTGTTAATAAAAAAAATGTTTTAGACTTTCTTTTTTTGCTTTGTATACATGTTTGTAGGTACAGCCTACGGTCGCCGCCATCTTGCTTGCCGGGGTGTACTTAGGTTCACTGTGGGCCGCGCTATAATCCGACTACAACGCCGTCTCAATGCATCGTAATTGTTATAACGCAGCTCACGCGCTCTCCAGCTAGGAAGATGGCGGTGCCCAGAGGACGTACCTGCAAATGTGTATATGTAATCGAATACTGAAGTTATTTTCAGTGCAAATGAACTTCTCAGCAAAAAAAAATATATTTTATGCCGCGAATTGGCGACATCGGGCAGCTAGGCCTGGACAAATAGGTTATACTGTTTGACCTTACGTCCGGATGCAGACGACGCCACGTTACAGCCTCGACCTCCTGTGCACTGGCCTCGGCCGCCCTAGCCTCAGCGTACCCCTGTCAGGTCTGTCTTGGTCTCAACGTGCTCCATCTTGGCTTCAGCCTCGGTGGCCCTGGCTTCCACCTCATTGTCATGGCCCTGGCGTTAGCCTCGTTGACCCTGGCTTGCACCTTATTAGCCCTGGCTTGGGCCCCGGTCTCAGGCTCGCTGGCCCTGGTATCGACATAGTTGGCCCAGGTCTTGCCTGCCCTGGTCTTGTCCTCCTTTATCCAGGCCTCCTTGGACCTAGCTTCGGCCTCTTCGGCAGAGGCCAAGGTCGGTACAGCAAAGACAGGCCCTTGAGCTTGTGATGCAACGTCCTCAGGGCCCCCAGGAGCTGCACCAAGCTATAAACAGCAAATATAAGCAATAACGATAGATTATCAGAGTTGTACAACAAAGTATAACATTGGAAGTTATAAGCAACTGCTTCTCAGAAGTGACCTCTGACAAACCCGCAAAGTTGCATTCCCGTTTTCCACCAACTTTTTCTAATGCTGAGGAAAATAACATCGTATGTCATCTGCCCTAACAGTGCAAAGGTTACTGAACCAGTATATCTAGAGTCTCCAATGCTTCAGTGGTCTCAACAGCTTGCAGTTGGCATGAATGAATAAATGATAAGTACACTTGAAAAAGCGATAATGACATTGATAAAAATATATCTAACCAAGCACAAAAAATGGCAACATTAAATGAATACTAATATGCTCTCCATAAAACTAATACTTTCTAACAAAGATGCTTTTACACATACCCCGTGACCTTTCAGCTCCTGGCAAAGCTTTTTGAGAAGCTTGTCCTCCATAGTTCTTTTTTTTTTGTGGACTGCTTCTTCTCCAACGAGTGATTTCAAGAAAAAAATCAGCAAGATTTTGCAAAATTTCGCAAGACGTTGTGGACGGTGCTGCCTGAAGCCGCAGGAACACGGCGTGGTTCATGTTTCGAAGTTCCGCAATTATAAGACTGCGCCATTGTGAACTCATTTCCTTGGCGTCGCAATTCGAGCAGAGGAAGCTCTTGTCGAAAAAATAATGAGCGACGCACTCAGCCGGTTTGTGTCCGCCGGAGCATCATCTCGTAGAGTGCGAATTGTCGTCATCGGGGAACACCATTTGTAGTTCTTCTGCCCATTTCGACAAGGTTTCCACTCGCTTCCCGGTCGTTGGATGCCACTCGAGCCGTCCCACTCACCTTCGATGACGCAACAGCGAGTGTTATTCCATCACTCCACCCGGACTGCGCTGCGCCGCCACAGTGTTGATATGCTACACCCAGTCCCGCGCACTTCCTCATGGCGCTCGCTGCCGACGAGGAGTCAGAGAAGGCGGGAATGGACGCCGTCAAGTCCGGCATCGCGGTCACCGATGCGAAGCCCGGTTGCGACGCTAGGGTCCATACGAGCTCACGGTCCGCGGTCATGGCTGTGCTTTCTCGTCGAGTCAACGGGAACACTGAACGCCCTCCCCTCGGTGGCGTAAACAATGCACGCGCACCACCGCCCGTGAAGAAGACTCACGTTCGCCGGCGTGAACATAGCTGTCGCAGCCACCACTGTTCCGGGAAGGCCCCGCGGTAATCCCACTTCTGAATGCTAAAGATTTTGAAGTACTATCATGAAACATTCATAAACAAAATGGTTTATTTAAGAGTAAAGCTATACGCTCTCCGGAGTGCACTTCGGACGGAAATGGCTATACGCACTCCGCGGAGAGTTCATGCCACTCGGGCCACCCTTTTCGAACGGCGCGTGTATCACTGGGGAGCTCGTTAACACAGCCCCCCGCGTAGAAGTGAATTAAATGTCGTATGGATAACCCCCGCGACACATGGTACGTAACATTTTATTTCTTGAATGAGCGCATGTCTTGCATTTAGACGTGATGATGGGAGGATACGTCAACACGCACCGAGTTAGAACAGATTTCACGACTAACGCGCTGCTGGTTCAACTCCTCAGCCGAATGTCATGTCAACGTCTAGTCTAGTGTTCTCGTGGTTGACAAAAGAGACGAGATACAATAGCGCGTCTCCAGCGCTTTAAGCGGTCGAGAAGGCGCAAGTGCTCTACAACTGGGAACTGCGAAATTTCGCATGTCTCTTGCTGGCACCAAACGTTCGTTTTCGGAGATCGGCAGCTCTCTTCCAGATTCTCGAGATCACAAACAACGGCGCGGCAAATATATTCCCGTGATTTGCGCCTTGCGAGTGAGCTGCGGGCCATATCCCTTTCCAACATACACTGTAAAGAGCGGCCGTCACTTTTACAGCGATGTTCTTGCCAATTTTGACGAGTCCTCACCGTCAACGAAAAGACGTCAACAAGGGGAGAGGGAAGAGCGACCTGGGGAGCGCAAGGAAACAAAATGCGCGCGGCATAGAGCTTCCCGATCAGTTGCCGCTGGCAAAAGGTCATCCGACTGACAACCTATCGCAATAGTGATCGCGTTTCGCGCGTTATCTGGCGTTCGTGTTTCTAGGCGACGTGACCTACAGTTTATCACATACAGTTTGCCCACTGTAGAATAGGCCCGTGGTAATTGGGACACATGGTGTTGAGAATATTTTTGCATGCAGTATCCCTCACCACATATCGCGAACTAAACCACTTTTTATGCTTCTGTTTTGTTGTTTTGGTTTCAAAGATGGCGGCCCCCATGGAATTTTGGTTTCCCTGTTCCTCGCGTTCTCACGTTGCACATTGCTTTATTTGAAGCGCCCGTCACAGGACACCAATTCTAGGCGATCACATTCAGACAAGAAAGCATCTTTTCAAGTAGGGGACTGTTTATTGCATCTCTGCATGGTATAATTCAATCAAAAAGAGTCAGAAACATAGCACATAATACAGCCATAGAACAAAGTTTGCACGGATGCCGGTCAATTTACAAACATTAAACAGAGCCGACGACACTTCTTCTTTTTTTTTGCGGAGTATTGGCATGGTTTGACAGAAATATTGTGAATGGCAGCTTTTAGGGCAAGTGTGAAACTCGATGATCGAACACACAGCTTAGTGCAACACATTTTGACAGGTCACAAGGACATCAAGATGCATGAAATACCGAGCACATCAAATCATATATCTACTGCACAAGTAAACAATACAACAAAAACTCAAAACTGCATGCACACAAGATTATCGACAGCAATTAATAAACCGTTCCCTGTTTAAACAAAGCACAGGCTTTTTAGAGCGCTCGGAGCTCTTTTACTGATAAAGGGAATGGCGCATATGACGTGTCGTACAAGGTTTCTTAAATGACGAAATTCTCTCTTTTAGTTTTGTGCGGACTAATACCGTGAACAGAACAGAACATGTGAGAGAATTTGAGCAGCAACATCCCCATGTTCTTGTTTTTTTTTTAGCTGATGTAAACACTTAATTTTTCCCGAGCACCGATCGACAAGGAGAGGCACTGCCGTTTTCAACGCACAAATTCACACAGGAATCTTTTTTTTTTTTCTAACAAGATCTGAACTATGGTTTCTACCTACCAGAACCATCACATATGTTTGCACTAGTTGGGTGCCCTTATTTCAAGGGCACTACTTGAGAACACATTAAAATGAACGCGATCAGTAATTTCTAAATCGAAACTTGCGTCGCCGGAGTACGCTCAGCGACTCCTCCAGTTCCGTCTGGGCTGCATCAGTTTCGAGGCCCTCTCTACGTGTGCAAAGCCGCGGTTACTTTGTTGTCCACGATTCCGAATAGAAAGACGATTCGGCACTAGCTCCATTGATGCAAGGAGGAAAATCAGCGCCTCACAAAACTTAATATACCCACGTTTATAATTCACCATTATATGAGTCTGTGTAACGGCGAATTCCTCAGCGATATTTGCCACAGAAACGACAACTTTCAGAGAAGCGAAGAATAATATATAACACAATGCTATTTGCAATAACAAAAATTAGATTAGACAACTTACCAGCTTCTCAGTGGGTGTTTTATTATCAGCTTCGAATGCTTCTAATTTAAACGCCAAAAACGCAAGTGTACCAGAGTGTACTCCGCAATCTCCGCAGCAGCAGCCCGTCGCCCGGCGCCTCGACTCCTCTCATTGGCCATAACCCTGGATAACCGTGTAACGGTTTTCGGTCAAGCATTCTTTTATTTTTTCCAGAAAAAAATCGGGTCTCTCATATTAAAAAAAAAAATAGCATTACCGGTGTAATTCCTTTGTTTTATAACGATTACTTTTACACGGCGTTTTTTAACGAGAAATCAGACACATAAAAAGTGTTTAGTTCGCGATATGTGGTGAGGGGCGCTGCCTAATGCCCAATCACCGGAAGGGGCCTTGAGTGGGACCACTGCATGCTTATTCACTGTGACTTGACCTCCTCACCTCCTACACTCCATCATGGCGATCTTGGCCAGCTTCGGCTGGCGTGTGACGATGTATTTGTTCATTCGCGTCATTTTAAGCAGGATCGGGTTCACGGGTTAACGAAGCGATGCTTGGCACGTAGGTGCAGGCTGCAGTCACAAACCAATCGCACCTGCCCGATAAATGTAAGTCTACCGTTTACATGCATTCGTACGATGCTGCGTTTTACGAGGCATGGGCCTGCCAGTTGAGGACGTGCATTCCTTTTTCTCGTGTTTATGTCAGAGTTTCCCTGATTTTCGATTTGTGTCATGTGTGCGCGGTGGCGTTGCCCGGTTCACCGAGAGTGCAAATGGGCACGAGATCGCAGCTTCAAGACGTTCTTGCGTAGAATGAGCGCTGCCTTGCAACGTGTATAAAACTGGCGTCGTACAGAGCAACGGGTCGCTATCGTTTTGCCGAAAAGCGCGTTTTGTGGACTGACGTTTCATAGATACCCGTCCGTCGACATTAACGACATTAACGTTCCATCGACACACGTTACGCGAATTGAACGGTGTAGGGACTTCTAGTCACGCGTGTATCCCACATGTACTCGCCGCTTTGTGGCAGCAGTCTGAGGCGGCTCATTACAGAAAAAAAAAAAGCTAATCTGGGCTGTCAATGAAACGATCTGTTAATCAAGCAATCTGGCGATAAATGATCGCGTATCGATAAAAAGTTGTTAAACTGCAGAACAAAATACTCGCGCTCGCACGTGTGGTTATGCACGACGATTTTCAATGCGGATAATGGGACGAAGAGGGTGCTTTGGGACGGCAGCCTACAGTTCCTGAATAGGCTACCAACAGGAGCCAGAGTTGCACGTCTATTTTTCACGTGCCGCCGTGTCGCTATTCGCCTAGATCGATCTCGTGAAAAGCAAATTCCAAGGGCCGTGCGGGAAAGCCACAAATACGGCCGCTTTGCCGACGCTGCACGC